TACAAATGGTCTCCAGTTTATGACATATTTGAGTTGTGAAAAACCACACTTACAACCACAGTGGATCTGGAGCTCTTTCTGGGAGGAAAAAAATGCTTTAGGGGCTGTGAAGAAATTGCTGAATTATGTGGACACATTTCAAATGTTTGTTCAATGTTATAGAAAATATCGGTGGAAAAATTCATCCATATGGCAAGAATGCTGAATTTAAAACTTGGCTTTCTCTGATGTAGGACAGTTTATACATAACAAAGAAGAAGGTTTAATAAGTCAGGAGATAGTGGATTTTGAAGAGAAGAAAAATACTGAAGAAGAATGAAATAATAAGGAAGAGGAAGGAGAGGAATTGTTAAAAATATTACAATAAAATGATTGGCTGGAGTTTTACTAAACCAAATCAGGGACTTCAGTTCCTTGAAAACATGAACTCAAACGTTGATGCCTTGTCTTAAGTTAGCTGGAAGATTCGGGAAGCAGTGAAATGTTACCACAAAATATACAAAAGAGAAAGAAAAGGATCATACAAAAATAAACCCCATGTATTTTCCAACGTATCATTCCCATTCCTAGATGATCCAGAATCTCCCATATATGGAGTTATTACCACCAAAGACAAAATGCCAATATCAATATCATCAGAATAAATGTCGGATTTGTGCATCTTCTATATGTGTATGTATGTTTGTGCTATATTTAGTCCCTAAAGACAGATAAAAGTTGGATTTATAAAAATACTGAAAATTAAATGTAGTAACAAAAAAATCACCAGTAATTGTAAAGTGCTCAATAATGGCATAGCCAATTCATGACTTAGTCCTCTGAATGAAGCTCCATCATAAACTAGGAATTTAAATGGTGTTTAAATTTAATTAAGAATGTCAGAAAAGATAAATCTCTTCTTTATAATAATGGTTTAATATGTTTTATATTGCTATGATACATTCTATACCATATTAAGTTCTGAAGTGAGGGATATTAGACATTTGGAGGTCACATTTTCCTTTTTTTTTTTTAGAAAATGTGTACTTTGTTTGGTATTAACAGATTTGAACATAATCTTTTTTTAAAATTCCCATTCATTCATTGTTACACATTTTCTTCCCTGTGCCCCCTCCGCCCCATTTCACTTTTTTCTTTGGAAAAAAAGTGCGTTCATTTTTATACAGTCATTCCCCCACCCCTGACCACTTTATCATGCAACTCTTATTCTGGACTCTTGTCATGCCAATAATAGCTATTCATATGTTCCTTTTTTCCATATGTTCCTTTTATACAGTCCTTTCCCTCATCTGTTTCAATCCATTCTCATTCAATTTTCACACAGATATTAGTCAATTGAAAACACCAGGAGTTGAGCCAAGCACACTTAAGACTTCAAAGTGACATTCATACTCTCTAGCACTTGAAGAAGTCCTTTGCAGATTTTCAAATGCATAGTGTTTTTGATTTCTTGATTGCTGCTTCCATGGGTGTTAACTGTGGGTCCAAATAAAGTGAAATTCTTGAAAATGTCTATCCTTTCTCCATCTATCATGATACTGCCTATTTGTCCAGTTTGAAGGTTTTTGTGTGGAAACTACAGAACAATCTCATTGATTTCACATGCAAGCAAGATTCTACTGGAGACTATGCAAAAACGACTGGAACAACACATCAGCAGAGAACTGCCAGAAGTCCAGACTGGGTTTGGAAGGGGTCCTGGTACTAGGAATATTGTAGCTGATATTAGGTGGATCTTAGCTGAAAGCAGTGAATACCAGAGGAATGTCTATCTGTGTTTCATTGACTATGCAAAGGCGTTTGACTGTGTGGACCATAACAAACTGTGGCTGACTCTGAGAAGAATGGGAATCCCAGAACACTTGATCGTT